ATCTCATGTTGGCTGAGATTACAACTGACCAACAGTCTTCATTGTGCAAATATGCACCTACAATAAACTAACACTGTTAAAAACTTAAGGGGATGGTCATGCATCTTACATTTAACATGTGTAAAATATGAATGATGTGCATAAGATTTGCAAAATCTTTGTGAAGGATGTGGAAAAAAGTTGCATTTTTTTCTCTTTGAAGCTGCAAATCTGCTTAACAGACTACCAAGGATCATTATTTTTTTAAGCAGCATTGCTCTCTAGCCCAAAGGTTGGGGTCTTACCCACAATTCAGATAAATGTCAAAGATGATAATGGTTAAAATACCTAAGAAGGGCATCAATGAGAGATCAGAGAAGTATTTTCTAATAAAATAAACTCTTTATTAAACAATAAAAAGTACTTATACAAGTTAAACAAAGTGCAAATGATATATTGAATACAAGCTACTTTACGTACCAGTGCTTCCTATTAAAACGCCCAACACAAACTAAGTGTTCAAAAAACGTCCACCATACTGAAACATATTTAAGAGAGAACACCAATGCAGTCTTAAAAATCAACTCTTTTGTTCAGTCCTAAACTTGTGGTCTAGCATAATGTTCTTCCTAAATGAGAATTCTGGCTTACATTCTGCAATTTCTCTTAATTCTTAGGAGTCTAATAATGTCCGGTAATATTGTGGTTGCTCTGACAATTTCAGCATTAAAGTTCTTGACATGCGTAAATTTTCTCTTCTATTTTTTTTTTTTTTTTTTTGAGACGGAGTCTTGCTCTGTCCCCTAGCCTGGAGTACGGTGGCACAATCTCAGCGCATTGCAACCTCTGCCTCCTGGGTTCAAGCGATTCTCCTGCCTCAGCCTCCCAAGTAGCTGGAATAACAGGCACCTGCCATCATGCCCAGCTAAATTTTGTATTTTTAGTAGAGATGGGGTCACATCATCTTGGCCAGGCTGGTCTTGAACTCCTGAACTCAGGTGATCCTCAGCCTCCCAAAGTCCTGGGATTACAGGCATGAGTGACCGTGACTGGCCTGACATGCTTAAATTTTCTACTGTTATCTTATTTCTGTATTACAGGCTCTTTCTTTCATAAATCTGAACTAATACAATCACTGCAGTCAAAATAGCAAAACCTGTTGTTTTTGCTAAACAAACGTTTAAACTTCCTGGAATAACTTTCAATGACTTTATGGGCAGCACTCATCCAGAACTATGCTTCCTACAGAGACAGCCTCTCCTGAATCTGCCATTTGTCTCCAATGCCACTCTTAAATATTTGCCAACTCCTATTACTCAGTCTCTTCGAGAGATTACTAGTAGTCTTTAATTTCACTTCCTGTCAAGTTACTTTGTACTTTTCTTGACTAAAACATGGAAATATATTTTGAACATAAGCAACAGAACAGTTTAAAACAATTTCAGGACATCTAGTGATTAGAACACAGAAAAATGTTTTAAAGAATTCACACGTTTTTCCCTTTTATATTCCAGTTATGACAGAATAATTTCATCATTTAATAATTTTGTAGACAGAAATACACATACTACCCATACATATGCTTAAAAATGTATATGCATTTCTTTGAAAAAATGAGCATCGCTTATGAGGAAGCAAAATAATAGAATATTTTCCCAACAATGAACTACAAATTCCTTTAAAAACAATATTCTTGAATTGCTGAAAAGACATAAAACCACAACACTACCTAACTATAAAATCACAGGAGACCTTAAAAACCATCTAATCTAGATGGTTCATTTTTACATGTGAAGAAACTGAGGATTCAAGTTTAAATTCTTTCAAATTAAGGTAATAGCAGTAGTCAGACTGTAAACAAAGTGCAAGAAAAACACATGGGCTTTGTTGCTAAAAAACAAAAACAGGCCAGATACCTACAACAAAACGATGTGATCTTCAGCATGTTACTAAGCTTTCTTCGTGATGTGAGGGTCGGGGGACGCTTCAGCTTCTTCATCTTTTATAAAAGTATAAGAACTAAGCCAGGCACAGTGGCTCACACCTGTAATCCCAGCACTTTGGGAGGCTCAGGCAGGTGGATTACCTGAGGTCAGGAGTTCGAGACCAGCCTGGCCAACATAGTGAAACCCAGTCTCTACTCAAAATACAGAAAATTAGCTGGGCGTGGTGGCAGGTGCCTTTAATCCCAGCTACTCAGGAGGCTGAGGCAAAAGAATCTTTTGAATGCTGGAGGCGGTGGTTGCAGTGAGTCGAAGTTATATCGTTGCACTCCAGCCTGGGCAACAAGATTGAAACTCTGTCCCCAAAAAATTTTAAAAATTGTATAAGAACCAGTTAATTCCATGTACCAGAGTGTATTAGCGCTTGTATGTCATCTTTCCAGAAGATAGCTTTGACTTTATTCATTACACATATTTACTGAGCATCTAATATATGTAATATGCCAGGTCTTGTGTAGTTTTTTTTTTTTTTTAAGACGGAGTTTTGCTCTTGTTGCCCAGGCTGGAGTACAATGGCGTGATCTTGGCTCACTACAACCTCTGCCTCCTGGTTCAAGTAATTCTCCTGTCTCGGCCTCCTGAGTAGCTGGGACTACAGGCACCTGCCACTAGCTTGGCTAATTTTTGGTATTTTTAGTAGAGATGGGGTTTCACCATGTTGGTCAGGCTGGTCTTCAACTCCTGATCTCAGGTGATCTGCCTGCCTTGGCCTCCCAAAGTGCTGGGATTACAGGTGTGAGCCACTGTGCCAGGCCATTAGGTTTTATTTTCAACAGATAAGCTAAGGTCCAGGAATATATAAAGCTTTGAATACAAAGTAGCATCACTTCCTTATTTCTGTCTTTAATAAATATTTAATATCTAGTCTCTGTGCAAAGCAATACAAATAAAATGTGTTGAAACAGTTACAGTCCCTGTTCTCAGCTTAAAATTTACTGGGGGAAATACATAATAAATTAGTACATTAACAAATAATATCTAAAGTGCTAGACTGAAAGAAACAAGGTGCTCTGATAAATACTGAGAATTTAGAGAAAAGAAAACATTTAATCCAAGATAAAAAGGAAGCAGCCTCAAAGGTGAAAATGAAGCAGCCATAAAAAAGCTTGGGGTAGGTGATTCTAGATATGTATGCAAAACTCCTGAAGAGGAAAAATGCTTGATTTCTGAAGAAATTTCATTATTGAACTGTTTGAATCGTAGTTCTTCTCTTTCTACAATAAATTACCAAACTGCCTGTTAATAAAATAAAAAGTTCTATAATTTTGGATACGTGGGCGTAAAAGCAGAGGGCTAAGTAAGTAGAGGATAAAGAGAAAGCCTACTTAGTAGATGTTGACTTTACCAAATGTGTGAAAGTGAGTGGAGTCACACTAGGTAGTGATGAAAAGCAGATTATGGATTTTTATGGATATGATGGATTTTATTTTGGCGGTAATGCAACACCACTGAAAGTTCTGCACATGAAAGTTATGATGAAAGTTGTACTTTAAGAAAATTTTAATGTCACAAACAGGTAAAAATATTAAAGCAGAGAAATAAGATTAAAATTAGTGAAAGGTTAGGGAAAGAGCACCTAACAGCAGCAGCAGCTAAAACAGAAGACACTACAGACATGCTACATCTGGATGTGGCAAGAAATTGAACATATGAAACAAAGACTGTCTGTGACACTAAAATCACAATGGTGTCATAAACAGGAAGGGAAAAAGACTAGAGACTGTGGTGAGTTCAAGATATTTGATATAAACTGTTACATGTTACCCCATTATCTTAATGAAATAGTTTTCCATGAATATTCTGTATTTTTTCTCCAAGATGTTTTAAATCAGTAAATCAGCAACTTGTTACAAGTAGAATACAGTATGAACTAATACTCCCACTCTGTGTTTAGATAAGTAATATAGATTATAGGAATCTTTGTTTTGGAAATAAATGCCAGTAAATGAAAACCTTCATATTGAAGATAATCGGTCAAAAGTATTCCTCAAAACCCTTCTATATATGAGGAAATACAGTGTAGTAATATTTTAAAGTTATTTTTTCTTTTCATATTTTTGTCACTTTCTCCAAAGCATGTTAATTATTCTTCATTAAGTTTACCTTGTCAAATTAAAATGAATTCTGAATTAATATTTTTATGTTCTACTTGACAGTATTTTGGTTTTGGCTCCGTATCTAACATCATTTGAAAACCAAAATTCACAAGTTACAACTATCATAAACTAACATTTCCTAGCGATTATCTTTTCATTCATAAAAAAGGTTTAGTCTGTAACTTACGGACTTAGCAATGCCACTAAATCTTTTATAAATATTTTTACTTTTAATACAGTAGAGTAGTCTGGGAGAAACTTAATTATTATGGCAGGATTTTTCCAACATGGAGAATAAGGATAGCTACAAGACACACAGATGTTTTAGGGACACCCATCGACTCAATGAAATATGTAAAATCTCTAAAAACATATGAAAACATTTTTCTTTTTTTTTTTTTTTTTTTGAGACGGAGTTTCACTCATGTTACCCAGGCTGGAGTGCAATGGCGTGATCTCGGCTCACTGCAACCTCCGCCTCCTGGGTTCAGGCAATTCTCCTGCCTCAGCCTCCTGAGTCGCTGGGATTACAGGCACGCACCACTATGCCCAGCTAATTTTTTGTATTTTTAGTAGAGACGGGGTTTCACCATGTTGACCAGGATGGTCTCGATCTCTTGACCTCGTGATCCACCCGCCTCGGCCTCCCAAAGTGCTGGGATTACAGGCTTGAGCCACCGCGCCCGGCCGAAAACGTTTTTCTAAGAACACAGCACTCAACTTATATGACCACCTTCCACAACCCACATGAAGCAGTGAAGAAAAGGTCGTCTAAGTCTGTGAAAACAGAGATATCCTAAGGAAAACATTACAGTGTGATTTGCATTCATTTTTAGGATCTACTTAGCCGTATGACTTATTTTGTTAAAACAGAATGTTTTTGACTTTTTTTTTTAAACCACTGTTCTTGAAATTTTTTTTAGACATTATCACAATTTCTTATTGTTACTAGATAGCTAAACCTCTTTTAGTATAAAAAATGTTACCTTTCTGAAAACCCAGATCTGCTATCTTGTTTGCCATTTGCAAGTTGATTTAATAAATTAAAGATGGCTTTTCCCCTTATTATTGGTATTTTTGCTAAGAAGACACATGAAGTATGTTATTTCGTATTCTAGATTCTAACAAAGTATCCTAACGTAACTATTATTTTTTTTAATTTTAACAAAAAAGGATATTTACTATGCATGCCCTGTTTTTAGGCTATGGCAAATTAGCCTGCAGCAAGTGAAGGTCCAGATGGTCTCTCCAGTTTGACTACCCAGTTATGATGAAGTATGTGTAGTGTACTGTATTCTTCTTTATGACTGACTCCAGATTTTCCAAATACCAGTTGGGTATATCAAAACAGAGAACTAAAGCTGGGTTATTTAGCTGCCACTCCCTGGCACAAACAGACTAATGCGGTTATAGCAAAAGTAGAGTTCAATCCTGGCACTGTGCTTTTGACTATTCTCACAAAAGCCTGATCAAGCTTCAAGCTTCACTAATAGATTTCAATTCCTCTAGGTCTTTCTCCTCCAAATACTGTTTCTTCATACACTTCCCCTATAATGTTTTCCAGGTAGCCTCAGGAATCTCAGGGTCTCTTATTGACCCCTAGGCTTTTAAAGTCAGTATATTTCTCCTCCCAAATCTGAGTCATTTTGGGGGCCTAAAAGTTTCCGAGTATTCAAGTATGAAATTCAAAGAAACTATGCAACTGAAAAACTAACACTGATGAGAAGAACCAAAGATAAACCCTAGAAGCAGAAAAATCTTTTGTACACAGTATGTAAGTTGCTTTTTGCTCATTCATTAATGCACTCACTCCAACATTAGGCTGCACAGTGTGCCCAGATCTAGAGATTCACATGAAATAAAACAGCATCAAAAATCTTAGACTATCAAAAAGATTTGAAATGTTTAAGGTTGATTCAAAACTATGTGCAGAAATTGCAGCCTTATTTGGACTTTACACAAACTCAAAAGTACAATACTAAAGATACCTAGAGGAAATCATTGCCCTTTTTAAGTATCTGTAGTAACAGAAATGGTTTTTAATTTTATTCTTTACTTAGCATGTTTATCTATTACACTTTATAATGATACTTCAAACTAAGGAAAAAAGGTAACTAGCTTTCAAAACTCAAGCTGAGGTACAGGATGAATAAAGATGGACTTGTGACCTGATTGTGTACCGTTATAAAAATATGAGAGGAAATTATTTTGCACACTGCTATTTTCTTTATACTTAACTACATTACAATGATAGTGTAACTAGCAGTTATAAAATTTTCTCTGTTCTGGTTAAATGCCTAAAACTTTAAGAGCAACATAACAGTAAATTAAATCTGAACAATACACTATTCTTATAGCAGACAAAAGGGATTTCCCTCCTTTATTAAGTTCCTATTTTAGGACATATCAATTCATATTCCTCATAAGAGGCATGGCATTAAAAAAACAAAAAAGATGAGTTTTTAGCCTCCTATTTCCAAAATTCTTATGAGTCTCCCTACAAGGTTACGAGCCAAAAAAAAAAAAAAAAATGTACAATACATCACCATGTTTTCCAATTCAGTTTTTTCCCCAGATGGTACTTCTATAAATTAAATGAACTAAGTAAATCCAAGATCAGCAAACAATTGCTGGGTGAGGAACAATTTAAACTTCCAAGCACGTCAACAATTTGGCAACTCAACCATGCAACTCAAACCTAGTAACACAAAGGTAAAAAACTAAAGATTCTAAGTTATAATGTGGGAGTCTATGTATACTTACGTATATGTGTATACCCATATTATACATGCATGGGGTGGTTTTGTTGTTTATTTTTTATTTTTGTCACCTCTGCCAAGATCAATCAAGAGGAAGAATAATAATTCGTTTAAAAGTTAGGAACTGGGCATGCTTTTAAAATTTCAACAGTGCATTTCCTTTATATTGCAGTACAGTAAATGCTCTATAAAAGTGTTGGTTTAAGCCTAGGTGAGAATAAAGTCTGTTTTGAGAATAGCATTTATCATTACCCAAAACAGTTTGGAAAATATTGCAGATTACAAAAGATATTTAGCTTGGACTACAGCTGGTAACTTTGAAAAATGTTTCTGAAATATTTAAAGAGGTAGTAAGTTTTCTTTACCTGTTAAATTATTGGACTTTTTGCCAAAAAAAGGTCATCTAAATTTTCTAAAATGAGAGCTTTGAGTTTACATTAAACATCTCTAAAATATTTAATAGTTTTTAAAACATACTATGGTGAGATGCATTTGTAAAACTGTTACCCAGAGTTAGACAAAAGTCAGTAAGAAACTTAAAAAGGAGAAGCCTAGAACATTATTAATCCTTTCCCACATTAAAAGTGCAGATATTAACAGAATATTCACTAAGTAAAAGGAAATTATTACCTGGTTTCTAAGGCACACAGTTAGCTATAACATCTAAAGCGGGATTTATTTGCATTAAGCTTTCAGAACATTTGTTGCAACTGGGGCAGAAATAGGTATGTATTCACATAACATGTAAGTCTGTAGTCCAGAAAGGTATTTCAACTAAAATATGTCAATTCTCACATCTGAAATCATTTTGACATTACTGATGTAGTATTTGGAAGAGTTTCTGTATAGAAGATTTCTTTTAGGCTGACAGTACTTCATGCTATAGAGGGTCAGATATACCCGTTCTCTTTTGTTCAGCAGTGCCTCATTTCCAGTACATCAAGCTTGGTCCCCAGTTCCACTATCTAATGCCTGCTTTACATTATGTCGTACGTCGTTGGTACCACATAAAGTGATTACATTATAAAAGGCCTCTAGATCACTTTGTTCAAAGGTAACAGCTGGTTTTGGTAATGTTCCAGGAACAAGGGAACTCTCTCCCACAATTCTCAAGTTGATAAATTTGATTTTCCAAGTATTCTCCACAAAAGGGCAGCGGATGAGTCCAAAAATTTGTTCAAAAATGCCCAAACAAGTGTTCCCTCGATGGACAGTCCCAGCAACTCCAACCATAACCAGCCCATGAGGAGAAGATGCACATTTCAGTCCACGTGAATCTAGGTTGGGGCTGAGAAAAAGAAATTCTTCTTTTACTAGTGACAGCAAACGAAGGCTCACAATTTCTGCTCCATGGTAGTCCATCACATTTTGTTCTGATGTGTTGTAATAAAACCTAAGCTTTACATCATGCCAGAAGTGCTGTGGTCCCCATTCATCTTGAGGTGGTCCCAGAAAAGGATTTTGAGAATTAAGAAGTCCAAAGAACCAATGACAGAATTCTTCTCCTAGGCAACGAAAATCAACGTTTTCAGCTTTTTTATCTTCTTTCACCTGCTGATTGAAACAAATAAAATAAATACAAAATAACACCAAGTTTTAACTTTCATATCTATTTTACTATTTAGTCTATTTCAGAGTTAAGTTTGAATGTACTGATTGCAGCAGTAAGAAGTGAAGACCTTGCTGAACCCATCATGCATAATAAAAATCTTTTTTCAAAAAGAGAAAAATCATTTTAGAAACTTCCAGCTTAAACTGCGAAAAATTCAGCCACAAGAGTAGGGTTTAGCAAGGCCTCTTAAAAAATCAGTATGAACTGTCAATAACGATGATTTATATAAGCGTTTCCTCAGATTGTGGCAGTTTTCACAGGTGTCTATCTCTGTTAAAACCTTCAAAATGTTCACTTTAAACAGATGCCTTTTGCATATAAATAAAGTTGAAATAAGTAAGCATTTTCATCGTCTTTAAACGGATACCCTAATGGCAACTGAAATGGGTTATTTTCTATAATTGGGATTAATTTTATTCTCTTTTTTTAAAAAAAAAATGTTACTGCAAGCCAGGCCTGGTGGTTCATGCCTGTAATCCCAGCACTTTGGGATGCTGAGGCAGCAGACCACTTGAGGTCATGAGTTCAAGACCACCCTGGCCAACATGGTGAAACTCTGTCTCTACTAAAAATACAAAAGTTAGCTGGGTATAGTGGTGCATGCCTGTAATCCCACCTACTTGGGAGGCTGAGGTAAGAGAATCACTTGAACCCAGAAGGCAAAGGCTGCAGCGGGCTAACATTGTGCCACTGTACTCCAGCCTGGGTGACAGGGCAGACTCTGTCTCAAAAAAGAAAAACAACAAACAAAAAAAAAAACTTACTGTAAAAATAAATCTGATACATTAGATCTCATTCATTCATCCATGTGTTCCAGAGCATAGTACTTTATCAAATGGTAAGAGATCTTAGGTTTACTGAGCATCTGCTATTTAATATTACTAGGCACTGTGCGTGGCACTTAAGAGCGATTTCTTCCTATCTTCACAATAAGCCCTAGGACACAGATATTATTGTTATGATCATTTTACAGATTAAAAAAAAAAATAAGGTTCAGAAAGGTCATTATTTGCCTCCTATATTGCAGACCCTAATTTGAAGTCATAACTGTATGATTTCAAAATGAATCCTCTTATCAGTACATAAAGCTCTTAGAAGATCCTTTCCTAATGTGAAGGCAAAGCTTTCTGACTGTGAAACCTCATTAATTCAAATATGGTATGTAGTTTAAAAATCTGCAAATTACCTAGAGATCAATTCAAGCAACACTTAAATATTTGTGCAATATCTAAAATGTACAGTGGAGATACAATGAACAGAAACAGCCAATGACCACTGGAGAACATTTCCACAATAGGACTTTTTCTAGTTTAAAAAAAAATCAAGCATAAAAAATATTTTTATGGACAGAGAGAGCATCAAGAAAAATAGCTAACACACGATAAGCTTAATACCTAGGTGACGGGTTGACAAGCACAGTAAATCACCATAGCACATGTTTACCTATCTAACAAACTTGCACACATACCCCCGGAACTTAATTTTTTTTTTTTAAATAAAAGTAAAATTTTAAATTTTAAAAAAGTAAAAAAAAAAAAAAAAATTAGGTTCCTTTCATGACATTTTTGCAATACCAAAAAGTCTTAAAAGAAAGAATTGGCATTAGAATTCTTCTAAAGTAAAAAGATTACACAGAACTAGAGAAGAACTAGAGTTAAATTAACCGCGCGGTTTAATCTTTAAAAATCCATTAGTCCTCATTTGATGATACTGATTGATATTAAAAAATACTTTTCCCCTCACATATTAATAGATGATTATATATGCAACACTATGTCAGAAATACTTTTTCCTTTAGTTGCTCTACTGGTCTCTTTCTTCAGGATAGAATATGAAATAAAATTAAAATTATAAAATATAAAAAAAATAGGCCGGGCATGGTGGCTCATGCCTGTAATTCCAGCACTTTGGGAGGCTGAGGTGGGAGGATCACTTGAGGGCAGGAGTTTGAGACCAGCCTAGGCAACATATAAGACCCTATCCCTACAAAAAAATTTTAAAAGTTAGCCAGGCATGGTGGTATATGCCTGTAGCCCTAGCTACTCAGGAGGCACAGGTGGAAGAATCACTTGAGCCCAGAAGTTCAAGGCTGCAGTGAGCTATGATTACACTATTGCACTCCAGCCTGGGCAATAGAGTGAGAATCTCTTAAATAATAAAAATTTTAAAAACCCAACAAACATTATCAACCACGTTCCCCAAGATCTATGCTTATCTACAAAGTTTCAGACAGAACAGAGGTTCAGAATATAACCATAAGATCTATTTTACCTGTCGAAAGAATTGCATGTTCTCTGTCTTTGTAACTGGCTCTGGTATTTCCTTCAATTTCAGTTGTGACTGCTTTTGCCAGTAATCTTTTGCATGCTGAATAAGATTGTGTTTTTCAGTAGCTGGAGGTATAATAATCCCCTGTGTTGCCAAGTACTTAAATATGATGTCTCGGTGGACTTTTCTACGCCTCAGAAGTTCTTCTGCACTTTGACTGTATACTAATATTGCATGAACAGCATCTAGAAAGAAATTTCAAGATTAATAAAAAATCATGAGGCACTTACAAATTTGTGCCAGGTCAGCAGAAACTCTATCAAATGATATTTACAAACTCTTGTCACAGCATTATTGCTGTTGCATGATAGCCATCATTTTTAAGAAGTAGGAAGTCCATTGTCAGTTTTTAAATTTTAATGTCTTCATGCCTTAAACTTTTCTTACCTTAAATCTCTTCTTTTCACTTCCCATAAATGACAGTGAAATTCTAGTATTTTCTCTTTGAGGATTGCATTTTAAGAACACATTCAAGCCAGAAAATTTTTTTTTTTCTAATAAGGCCAACAGTCCTAAATTCATATACAACCTCTAAAAATAGGGAAAATTACAACATTTTAGATGTCAAGGAATTTTAGTCCCATCTCCTCACTCTACTGATAATGAAAGTTGAGGCCATATTAGGTATCAATTATTGTATTTCTAGAAAGTGGCAGAACCAGGACTTTTATTTTTTTATTTTTATTCTTCTGAGATGGAGTCTCACTTATTACCCAAGCTAGAGTACAGTGGCGTGATCTTGGCTGACTGCAACCCTGACATCTCCCGGGTTCAAGTGATTATCCTGCCTCAGCCTCTCAAGTAGCTGGGGTTACAGGTGTGCACCACCACACCCAGCTAATTTTTGTATTTTTAGTAGAGACGAGGTTTCACCGTGCTGGCCAGGCTGGTCTTGAACTCCTGTTCTCAGATGATCTGCCCGCCTTGGACTCCCAAAGTGCTGGGATTACAGGCATGAGCCAGCACGCCCGACTGACTTGTATTTTTAAAAATTTATATTAAACACAGACCAAAGAATAATTTAGACATATGTGAGTTACACAGAATGGCAATAAAGCGAACTCCCATATGCATACCCCCTAGCTTAGGACATAAGAAATTACTACTATCTTTGAGGTCCCCAATTTGTCCCTCCCGAATGCTATTGCTTTCTTCTCATCCACCTCAGAGTAGCTACTAACCTAAATTTTGCTTTAGGATTCCCCTTTTTTTACAGTTGTACAGCATAAGTATGTATCCCTGAACTATATTTAGTTTGGTATATTTAAAATTGTGCCATAAATTCAATCCATCCATATACAGTATAGTTTTCTGTAATCAGCTTTTCAATTAATATTTTCTGGATTAATCTAACACATAGCTAACTCATTTTCACTCCTATATCGTAATCAGTTATATGACTGTATACAAGACATCTCACTATTCTGTTTACAGACTTCTATTCTGTGTGTCCAATTACAAATGCTGTTACTTTGAACATTCTCATACGTATCTCGCAGTGCACAAAGGGGCAAGCAGCAGAGCATCATCCTGGAGCTTGTTAGAAACAGAATTTCTGGGCCTACCCTAAAATTAATGAATCAAAACCTACATTTTAACAAGATCCCTGAGAGATTCAAAAGCATATTCAGGTTTCAGAAGACTAGATCTCAAGTATGTGTCTAATCTGCCATTTTAGGAGATGGGAAATTTGTTTTTCAAAGTGGTAGTTTTAATTTACACTCCACTAGTTGTCAACGAATTGTTTCAGCCCATCATGAACACCTGAAGTTATAGTTTGGGGGGGGGGGGGGGGTGTGTGTGTGTGTATATATATGTATCTTTTTTTCTTTTTTTGCTAATCTGGTACATAGAAAAGACAACTTCTGTTTCCGGTTTTCATTTCATTAGTTTCCAATGACGCTGAATATATTTTCATATGCGTGTTTTTCCCCCCTAAGAAATGTTTCTTCATGTCATTTATTTTTTCTTATTTGCTTTTAGATCCACTATCAACTAAACGCAGCATGTTATCCATTATAATTTTAAATTCACACTCACCATGATTGTAAAATGGTGAAAGCCATGTAAAATAAATGCTGAAAAGCCATATAAGTCTAAAACTATTTCTGTCTGAATTCTTTGGAATTTCCTCTTTTAGTGTCCATGGTTCAAAGCGACAAATGACTTTCTTCAATGCCAAAAATGAAATCTGACTTAGGCAGAAAAATCCAGTTTTAAAAGGGCAGAATCTTTTAAAAATAACCATATATTAAAATGGGAATCTGGAATTTTTCACGTTTTGAAGTAAAATTCAGCAACTTTAAAATAAAACTAGCTACCGATACACAAAATGAACAAACGCTTTATATTTTTATACGGACTAGTCCCAATCAGGCTTAATACTAATAACCCTTAAAAATCCATAGGAGTATGTATTCAGCTCGCTTGTATGTATTCCTAGTACGAAAATCATCTCAGAGAAATTTCGGCTCCAAAAGAAGACACGGATCCAAGGTATCTAGGTATCTGCCTTTTTTATTACAGTAGTTGCTTTTTACCAGGGACTGATACGAAATGTTTGCCATCCTCTTCCCCCTCAAACCTGAAGGGGAAATCAGCTGACTCCCTTCAGCAGATCGAAACTGAAAATGCAAAACATTCTGGCTCCCCAGAAAGTTTTTTTAAATTACTACTGACTTACTTTGAATCCTCGAATCAACAGGCGCTGCCCATATTATTGAAATGGATAAAACCTGGAAGCCGCGCCACGGTCGCCGCCGCCACCTCCCTCCCTTGACCCGGCTGCCCAGGTCTGCGTCGTGGTTTCAGAGCTGTGGATCTGCAGCGACGGCGGCCAGGATTCCCGGATTCCCGAGGATTCTGCCTTAGCGGGGTCGGGGACTAAGTGGGTGCTGGGCCTCGAACCCTCTCCACTCCCACGCTCCAGCGACCTGAGGACTCCGTGAGGCCTGGGGAGGGGCGGCCGCCTTCTACGTGAAGGGCCTGCTCTTACCTTGGCGGTTCTCAGGCTGCACCAGGCGGTTGGTGACGGTGTCGCACAGGGCCATGATCTCGTCGTTGTCCAGCAGGCCAAGGAGTTTACGGCAGCCCTCCATCTCTGGAGAGCTGAGTCGCGACATCTCGACCCCCGGGACGGGGGAGCAGGACGACGGCAACCACGTCGCCCCTACGGCCCACCGGGCCCGCGCCTAGGCAACAGACACCGGAAGTGCCTTTCCCGCAGTTCGCCGTCCAAGGGCCTCGAGTATTCCAGGCCCCTGGGCGGAAGTAATCGCCAAAGAGGTCAATCAAGATACGAAGTGCTCCCACTAGTGGTTCCGGGCTGGGGACGGAGCGAAGTCCCGCGTATCTCAATGAAGGGAAGTCCCGGGTTTACATGGAGTACGTAGGCATCCCGCAAGGGAGCCGATTACCGTAAGAGAAGTCTCTCCTCCAAAACAGCGTCCGGGAGTGCTGCGCAGGTGCAGGTGCGTGGAAAGCGGCCAGCCACCCGGGCGCACGGCGAGCTCCCGTGATGCCGCGGGGCCGGCCAATGGAGGCGGCTCCTCCCCGCCCGCGGGCCGGGCCCCCGGGAGCGCTTGAATGTCTTCTGCGGCCACTTCTGAGTTGGGTGAGCCGGTAGTTTGATTCCTTAAATTACGTAAATTAAAATAATTTAGTTTTGTTTAACATTATAGTATGAAAAATTAAAAAGAGATAATCCACTGTGCCTGCCCGCCTTCCCGCGGACTTTCCTCTCAAACACGCCGGGACTCTCTCTTGCCTCCATTCCCCTTGTTGCCGGCTCGGCCTTAGGAGAGGCGATGTCGCGCGCAACTTAAGCTTGGGGCTTCTGGACGCCAGATTGCCCGGGTTTTACTCCGCCGTTTACTGTGACTGTAAGCAAGCTCCTTAGCCTTTTCCCCTTGAGTTTTCTGCCGAAGTGGATCTAGTAGAGATGCCTACCTCTTGGTGTTGTGGGGGCAGGGTGACCAGTGCGTGGGGCTAGTAAGAGCTATTTTTACTATTGGCATGGTAGCAGCACCCATTTACGAGAGAAATTGTCATGCCCTGCTCAACTGGAATTAGACTAAGTACATTGTCACTTGCCTTTTTCTCTTTCTATTTTTAAGTCCTATTTTTGCTCAGTTGACATTTAATTAGGGTATTGCCATTTAGTAGCTGAAGTGTACAGGTCTGCAGCTCCTGGTGAGCAAATTTAACTTTAAAATATCATAGCTTGGCCGGGCGCGGTGGCTCACGCCTGTAATCCCAGCACTTCGGGAGGCCGCGGCGGGCGGATCACAAGAGGCCAGGAGTTCGAGACCAGCCTGGCCAATATGAAGAAACCCCGACTCGACTAAAATTACAAAAAATTAGCCTGGCATAGTGGTGGACGCCTGTGATCCCAGCTACTTGGAGGCTGAGAGGCAGGAGAATAGCTTGAACTCGGGAGGCAAAGATTACAATGAGCCGAGATCTCGCCACTGACTGCACCCCAACCTGGGTGACAGAGTGAGACCCTGTCCCAAAAATAAATAAATAAATAATAGCCAATTATCAGTCATATAGTGTACATATAGTCTTTAAAACAAGGCATTCAAAATATGGTTAAATTGTCAGTAGATGTTATTTGGGGTACCATTTACTCAACGTGTAGCAATTCTTCAATGCCTACATTGTTAGGTATTGAAGGTTCAGAAACATGACCCAGACCTTTCTTCAAAGAGCTTTTGGGAGTGTTATTAGTAAGGAGATTACAAGTGCTAAAATATGTTGGTGTGGGACCATGTAGAGGGCATGTCTAACTTCTTTCATTCGTTCATTAAAAAAATTTATTATTGAGCACCTACTTGCCAGTTATTGTTCTTTGTTCCGGGGACAAAAAACAATGCTTGCATTTTGGTAGAAGGAAATACACAATAAACATATAAGAAACTATATACTCGGCCAGGAGAGGCTATGGAGAAAAATAAATCCAGAAGACGGGGATGGGAGAGGATGTTAGTATTTCATACAGGTTGAAAAGAAAGCTGCTTTATGGGACGTCGAAGATAAAAGAAAGTGAATGAACCGCAGGAGAAGCATGTTAGGAAGAAGCAACAGTAGAGATTTTGAGGAAGGAGTCCAGGAGACTGGAGCTGTTTGAGCAAGGAGGAGGCAATGAACAATGTGGCTAGAGTTGCAGTTAAGACTGATCTAAAGCAGGGTTTCTTCATCATAGAACTATTGACATTTTTGGGCAGGATAATCTTTTGTTGAGGGGATTGTCCTGTGCATTGTAGGATGTTTAGCACATCCCCATCCTCTACTCACTAGGTGCCAGTAGCACCTCCTTCCCGCACTGTGGCAACCAAAATTACCTTCAGACATTGTTACATGTCCCCTGCAAGGCAAAATCACCCACAACTAAGAGCCACTGATTTAAAACCTGTCAAGTTGCTTTTCGAGATGATGAAAATGTTCTTTTTGCTGTCCAGTACAACCACCATCAGCCATATGTGGCTCTTAAGGTTCTTAAAATGTGTTTAGTGCAATGTAGGATCTGAATTTCAAGTTTTATTTGAATCTAAATTTTAATAGCCATACATGGCTAGTAACTACTGTCTTGGATAGTCTAGGTCTAGAATATTCTAAAGCATTATATGGACTTGGGGCTTTTTTATCTCTGACTTCCTTATTGTCAATCTCTCCAGACTAGTCAGTGGTTCCCTTATCATTTGTTCCTTCAACTTGCCATACATGTTCTTGCCCCAAAGCATTTACTGTTGCTCCTGGCATATTCTTCCCTTGGATATCTGAATGGCTCTTACCCATACTTTATTCAAGTTCCTGCTCAAAAGCCACCTTATCAGAGAGGACTTACCTCATCATCTTGCTTAAAATCACAACCGACATCATGCTTACTTATGCATTTCCTATGCACTTTTTCTTTATAGCACTCATACTGTATGTTTGTCGTCTCCCAATAGAGTATGAGCTCTATGAGGCAAGGATTTTTGCTTTTCACTGCGTGTTACAGAGGCCAGCACGTGGCAGGCATCCAATGAATATATTTGTTGAATAAATGAATGAGCTCTGAAGGTACTGGCATGTTTTAAACAGGAATAACATATCTGACTTGTCTTAGAACAGGGATTGCTTTGGTTGCTGGTGTGAAGATTGAAGGGAGGGTAAGAGTAGAAGCAGGGAACCCAGTTAGGAGACAACTGTAATAGTGCAAGTTAGAGAAAATGGTGGCTTGAATTAGAGTGAAAGGCATGATACAGTCAGGGACGATTACAAGGTTTTGCTTTGGGCAACTAGTTGCCATTTATTGAGAGGAGGAATGCTGGGAAAATCAAGAGATCTGGCTTTCTGACAAAGTGGTGATGCCTAGGAAGGATTAAATCAAAGAATGAGAGATGTGATGGGGAGAAAGGTGAACAACCAGTAAAGGGGACAGTAGTGAAAAATACATGGACTAAAATAGCATGATGAGAGTAGGTGGGGTTTTAAATATGGCTGGAGCCAAAGACAGCGTATAGGAGCCATAACATGAAGAGAAATTTAGCAAAATTATGTATCAGTGGAATATACAGCTCTCCACAACCGTAACACTATAATGCTAGAATTGGAATATGACTGATCCCCACATCTCTTTGCACTGTCCCCATTAAATTCTGTTCTGGTAGGAATACAACTTGAGAAAAAAAAAAAAAAAATCCTCTAGAGTAGTTTGGGATATGAGATGGTACTACTAAAGTATCCTTTCACCCAACAATTTAAGTACCTATTCATAGGGGACTTCTTTAAGTGTCTTGGAAACTAATTTTTAGAAGGTTCTATAAATTTAAGGGTAAACAGTTTATCTTCTAGGGAAATACAAAGAAGCTTATTGCTTTAGATCTATGATTTTCAAACCTTGGCTTGTATCAGAATCACCTGGAGAATTTGTTAAGACAGATGGCCTCCAAACTGACCACAATTTAGCATTTCTAACAAATTCCCAGGTGATGCTGATTCTGCTGCTCTAGAAACCACACTTTTAAGAATCACTGCCAGAATACTACATCAACCAGAATTCTCTACCAGGCTTCATCCTTGACTCTGAAATCACTGATCCTCAGGCAAATCTGACCCTATTTGGATTATTAGATCCACTCATGCTCTGCGTTTGTAGGGAAAACTGTGTGGCACAATAGAAACATGGTTTTAGGACACATCTGATTTTTCAGTCACCCTCTCCATTTATTAACTGTGTGACTTTAATCAGGTTAACCTTTCTGAGCTTTGGTGTCTAAAGAGCAGAGTTCATATTTACCCTAGAGTTGTGACAATTAGATGTAGCTTATATAAACAAGCCATTTCTTCCTCCAGTGTGCAGTACCCATCAATAAGGCATGAAACTTTCTACCATTTACAATGTTTATTCCAAGTATTAGTCGACTGTTTGAAATCTTGATTTACAGTTAAAATGTTTTATCAATTGATTCTTGAAATCAGTACAGATATTATGCTATGAAAAGCAGCTTAAATTGGTTATCTTGGAAGCTTATTTAGTAGTATTTGCTTCCCAGAATTCCTCAAATTTCAGAAAAGGAAAATGAAGTTATCTAAACCCCAATAACTGTCCAAATACCTCAATACGCTCATTGTTTTGAATATGGAATATATTGAGTCTAAGATCATATGACCATAAATCAGATTGATAATTTTAGATCTCGGCTCTAGAATGCTTCAGTAACGCTTTCATAGTGTTTCAAGGCATAATGCTTGTACTAATCATTTTATCCCATTTATCTACTGCAGTGTGATCTCATTATTATCGAAAGTATTTTTTTTCCTACTCAAAGCCCCATTTTATCCAATTGCAAGTTATAGCAAATAGTATGGAGGGTTTTCCTTTGTTAGTGAGCCAAAAAAGTAGGAGCCCTCTTGCTCAAGGACATCACTTCTGGTTACAGCTTATTGACTTAAACATTTCGCTATTGAAATTATTTCCTAGGAAGTAATTTTCATCATCATTTATATTGTAATATTTCAAAATTATTTCAGTCTTTGTTTTTTTAAGTTCCACCAGAAGCTGTTCATTTTCTGACAGATTTATGTGCTCTCTTGCCTTTGGAGTGTTCCTACACCTACTAAGTTTGCAAAGTACTACATCACACCGAACCCACTTACCTGAAGTGATTTTAGTAAAAGAGAATTCTGTCAACTTCTATTCCTGCATATAGGCATTCATTAAAATGTCCAAAAATGCCTATTTTGTGTAAAATTTTAGATATTTCTATTTTTTATATCATGTTTTAAAAAATCATTCAAATGCAAGTAGGGTAATGATACTGAAATATGCCATTCCTTTGTGAGACATAATAGATACTTTCGTTTAATGTATACCTTATATAAGTCTAATTCCTTCTGAAAGCAATGTATGTACTACATAAAATTGAACACTTGATTACCAACAAGGACAATGTTTTATTGAACAAATCTATGTACAGTACAAAAAATTTCTTGAAATGAGACACTATTGT